AGACACAAAAAATTCTTTACTTTTCTTTCCTTTCTCATATTGAAAAACAACATGAAGATCCAGCACATTAGTGACCAGAAAAAAGTGGTTTTCTTGCTTTTACTGACATTTCCAGTCAGAAAAACAGAAGCCAGTGAGCGTAGAGAAAATAAGAGGAGCTTGCAGGCTAGAAAGAAGAGCCCTGCAGGCTAGTAGGAGCCACGAGCAGCACATCAGCTTACTCAACCCCTGGGAAGGCCTTCAAATCCATTCCTCCCACCAAGCCAAGCCACAACAGTACCAGCACCAAGGTTTGGGAGCTTCTCTTAGCCAACTACTCAGCTAATACCATTTTCCCAGCCTCTGTACCTGTCAGCTCTTGGTATTTCAAAGTGAAAAGCAGGCAGGTCAACTCAAGTCTTCTTGCCACAGGGGAAACTATCTGGGGCTTACCATTGCCTGGAATATATTTTTATATATATTTATATATTTCTATATTAAAGCTCTTATGTTAAAACTTGGTTACATAACCTTGTTTATTGGCTTATCTTAAAAAAGCAAAAGTAAGATCAAGCGTTAATAGGACATCTGGCTGGTTTTATCAGCTTAGTTTCAGCCAAGAGGACCACCAAGAGCGCTCTCAACCACTAAGTGATGGCCAGCTAATGCCAAGAGTCTTTCAGACCACACAAACATGCTTTAAGCCAGACAGAGGGCTGTATTGACTAAACAGGTTCTTTACTGACCTGAAGGGTCCATATATCACTCTGAACCAGTACAGTTCAATAGCTTTCATCTGCTTCCCAGCACGCGGCTTTTCCAGAAAAAACCAATACGGCTCAGGAAGCACAATTAGCATCCCAAAACGTGGCTGATTCATGTATTAGATGCAGTAGTTACAGCATTATGGCTAGTGCCTGCATATATTTGCAAGAGGACCATCTGAAAACCAGCTTCATTCATAACTGTCATCAGAATTTGCTTGTTTTCATGCTCCACAAACTCATTGTAGGAATTGCATCTGTCTTTGGTAGCTGAGTAGTGAATTAAAAACAGTAGCTACTGCTTCTTGTTGATTTCAGAGCCTGGAAACTTTCAGACAGTTGAGTAGAAGTGAGGTATTTACCTGAGCAAAGTGAGATCATGAAGATTAACTTTGTTGAATGCAACAAATATTCCAGAAGCAGAGCAAAAAAGGAGTTTGAGAGTTTTTGGATAAATGCATGCATGTGGCACAGGGCTATCATACCAATGCGAAGTTAATAAGCCTCAGATATCAGGCCAACAATTCCTCAGTTTTAATATGAAGATGGTAAAGCAATGTTGCAGTGTTCTTTTCTTAAATATCTCCCTTGAGGCTGAGGCCCCAACCACCCTTTCCTTTACTTCTGCTCCTACCAGCCTTCCTCACCCTCAGAGCCACAACTCACCCCAAACCAAATCCTTCCTTGGAGGCTTTTGCTTCTTCTTGAAAGAAGCAGTGCCAACATCTCACACAAACTTCATTTTAGGATAGTACCAACCCCACCTCTGCAGACGATGTTGAGGTTTCACAACTGTCGAGCAACAGTACTTCTTCCTCCAAAGACAGAGCACAGCAAATAACCCTTCTCTAATGGGGAGCAAGCTGACAAAACAGAATGGATCACTCTCCTTGGTAGATTTTGCCACCTTGGCTGGAAAGCTGAGAGCTGAGTGCTTTATACAGGACTGCGGGTACACAGCATTCCCACTGCAAAGCAAGATAATGACAGGAAGACGCAAGCTCTCCTGAACGAGCACTTCCCAGAGGAAGCTTTGTTTGATTCAGTGCTCAGACACAAGGAAAGTCTCCTTGAGCACGGTAGGAAAAAGCAGACGTTTCATACACACTGTCAGGAGTGGCAATTCTGACACCCGTTCCGCTTCTGCAAGACATCCCTGAGCTCAGAGCTATTTCACAACCCAGATGAGCACTAGAAGGGACAGACAAAACAATATAACAAAACCAGACTGCGCAAGCATGGAGATCGAACAAGATGTTAGGAGAACCAGGGACTGGCCGATCTGTTCCCACCTCAGGTACTCTTCTCTAGAGTGTGTCTAAAGAGACACCTAGGAGGAAAAAAAGCCAAAACCAAATCTTGATTTACCAGCACTGAAACAGGTCAGAGGCTTTTTCCCTGGTTGGAAGCTTGAACCAGGCCTACTGTCTTCAGTAGAGCAGTTTCTTACAAATTGGTGTTCCTATTCACATCCTCAGGGAATTTTTAGGGCTGACTTTGGAGAGAAATACTAAACGCAAGGTGCTTTCCCCACTCCTGTTCAGAACACCTAGATAAAGAAAGCAGAGCTTTATAACATTTCAGAGCTACTTGCAGCTACACCAACAACTACCCACAGCCTCTGGTAGCTCCTCTACACCCACTTCAAGTTATGGCAACTGCTATGCTACCCAGAGGCGGGCTCCAGTGGCTCATGCCAGGGCTTCAGAGTCTTTTCCCTTGACATGTTTTAGCTGAAAAGGTCTCAAATGCAACGTGGCGCCCCCCCTGCCACCTCTCTCCCCTTCACTAGGGTGACAAGACCACGTTTCTCTCTTGCATGAGCTCATATCTCAAGCTAGAGAGCCAGATGGCACACCAGTGAGGGCGGCGATCCAAGCTTTCGTTGGTAAAGCTTTACCCCTTGCAGTGGACAGTACAAATATAAACACACATGAGGAGTCTGATTGTTCAGGAAGGATTTTTTTTTACAGACCTGAAAAAAAAAAAAAAAAAAAAAAAAAAAAAAAAAAAGAAAAGGCATTATAAAGGTTGACTAGAGTTTAGTGTTTCAAGTGGTTGTGGTACCTCAGCATTAAATGAACACCAGTGTTTGTAAAACATGTTTATTTGACATAGCTGCTTCACTAGAGAGATTAAGGAGCCAGAGCCTAGAATGGGCAGAACTATTTCCAGAGACTATGAAGACTTCTGTGACCAGGAAGGCTCCTGAAGGTTAAGCAGCAGCAATAACAGGAGAGCTGCCCAGCCAAGGGATGATGAAGGCTGTATTGTGGTGTGAAGCAGCTGAAGATCCACAGCCTCTCAAGGCTGGAGGCAAGGCTGCAGCAGGGGCCGTGCTGATAGGCAGCAAGTTATCAGCAGACAAGCAATTACAAAGGTCTTAAAGTTGGTTGAAAAGAGATAAACCAGCAACAGGACAAGGATTGCTCAAAGAAGGTGAGGGGCAAGATGGTCTTTAACCTCCAGATTCCCTGTAGAGTCAGAAAGTTACAACTGAGGGAGGATGCAACCGCCAGGCATCCCACAAGGAATATTTATAGATAAAGAAACAAGGGCAGTTACGCTTTGACTACAGCAGGCATCTGCTGCCACAGCAGCTCCGGTAATTAACATGCCGCTCTCAGGACACCTGGCAGAAGTTTACAGTCATAACTCAACTCACACAAAGCATATTGCTGGTACTAAGGAGCCCTCACCCACCTTTCTCCCCAATATCTTAAGGCAGGGAGGAGGCAGCCCCTAAGAACTAAGACCTGAGCTGCTGCCAGGCTGTTTTTTGCCAGCAAAGCAAGCGGCATTTCACCCACCCGCACCCACAGTACCCATGAAGCTGGATGCTGCTGCCGCTCATGGTTCCTGTGCCACAGCGCTCCCAGCTCTTCTTCCAAATGAAAGACCTTCTGCAAGAGATGGAAAGATGCGCCTGTATCCCCCAAAGCTACTTAGTTTAGTGAATCCAGGTATGATCTAGGGATTTTCAAAGGTTCTACTCCAGCACCAGCTGATGGCAGCTTGCTTTTGAGTGTCCATCCAGCCAACAAGTGTACTTGTCCCAGCTGATGTCCTTGCAAGCAACGATCTTGCTGGGCACCCAACACACCAAGGACCAGCTGGCAACTGAGCAGCCTCTACATGCAGCTCTGGAAGGTCAAGGCAGAAGCAGCATGTGGACGGCGAAGCAGAACTGGAGGGCACTGCTCTCCTCTGCCCACCTGGACTCAGGGCCTTAGTGTTTCTGGAGTTGGCCCATCTCTAAGCACCAGGAACTTTCCACTTTGGAAAGAACACCCTGGAACACCAGTTCTTCCTCCTCTTAAAGTGAAGAAATCCAGGCACAAAGTGTTGTCAGAAAGTCATTCAGTGCAAGGATTGCAGTCTCTGGCACACCTGGCATGTGCAGGATCACAGCCAGCGGCCAGCTTGCACTCTCTGGGGTAAATACACTGCCATTATCATTTTTCACAACAAAAGAAAGATGGAGGCCTGCAATAACCCCGAGGTGAATGGCATCTAATTTTTCATCATTGGAGTATTTATGGCACAGCCATTTGCAGCATCTTGTAATCACTTTACCGCCTCCTTGACCCCTGGCTCCCCCTTATTCTGCATCTCCTAATTGCATCTGAACAAGCAGGAGGGAAGCAGCAAAGTGGATAGATGCAGGATGGTTGGTTTGTGATACTTGGAAGGACAGCAGAGGAGTTGCAGAGCCAGGTCTGGCTGCACACACACCCCACACCCCCCCCAACAGCTTGCTTTGACGTCCCACAGGCTATGAAACAGGAACCTTCCTCCTTCCTGACACTGGGTAACCTTGAGGAGTCATCCCCCGCCTCCCCAATTTATTAGCATGGTATGAGAGATTAATGAGTTCCCTCCAACAAAGTGTGAAGGCATAATCATTATACACAGACACTGCCCAAAATTCCTGCATATTCATAGCCTCTCCTGGCAGGGTATTGGCAACTACAACAGTATCTATATTGACTACAAAAGCCCCTGGGTTAGACAGCATAAAGTGAGGGAGACAAGGACCAGTGTGACATGGATGCACAGAGGGCCCTGCAAACATGTCAAGCCACAAACTGCCAGGATTAGGAGGTACTTGGGTTCAGCAAGGATGACTGTTCCCAAAGGCCACTAACCCCTTGTCTGCCACAACACAAACAGTGCCTCCACCGCTAAGCCATTCTTTTTCCTCTTTTTTTTCCCCCCCTACAAACTTCTCAACTGAGTTTCACACTTCTTCAGCTGCCCCGAGGTTGTAGTTTCAGGGACAGCATTATGCTGTTCACTGTGTCAGGCAGGAGTTGCCTGAAGGGAAAGAAATGTCCCACACTTTGTAACTACTTTGCAGCAGCACAAAAGCAAGAGAGAAAACCTTGTTGCCTGGGGCTAGCGGGGAATCTGCTGGCTCCCAGCCTCCTCCTTTGCCCTCCCTGTACCACGCACACCAAACTGGTGCAACAGGCTTCAGAGATCAGCTCTGCCTGAGAGCATTATACCGACTTCAACTTACAAGATAAATCCCAGCTGCATTATTTGTATTTATAGTCCTGCTTACAGAAGCATGAGCCACGTGTAGGATTTGCTGATGTAGTCCAAAAAATCCACATTTTTGGACAAGAGCGTCAGTGATCTCACCCAGACATAAAGTGCAATTTAGGAGGATGTTAAGAAGTTGCAGACTTATTTAGGAATATAAAGATATACCAGTCTGTCCAGAGCTCTTTCCTCCACAGCCTCTGGTAATGTTCAGAGTGGTGTAACTGCACAGTTCTGCAGCCCTGGTGCTTCCTACCTGTATATTAAGGAACTAATGATAATTTCAGGAGAGGAGAGATCAAGACTGCTGTTTTACTCAATGAAAATGCTGATGCGAGTTAGGGAGGCAGCAAGGTCAGACCTCTGTTTAAAAACAAAACTGGTGTTAAAGCACCGAGCAAAACACTGAAAAATACGCTGTTGAGAAAAAGGCTTGTATTGCATCTCCCAGGGGAGTGCTTAGCTGACTTAACAGGTCTTCTCCAATTCTGGTTCCTAGGATGTTGTCACTACCACTGCACAAAATAACACTGCACAGGGGAAATGCATTTATTACTTATTTTCTACAGGAGGGTTGCAAAAATGAAAGATCTGTAAGGCTGCTGGAAAGTCTAGTCCAAGAAAGCAATTTTTAAAGGCCCTTTTTAAACCTTTACAACTCGTGTAGTGATCGGTTCTGACACCTGCCCTGTTCAGCGGAGATTGGTCTCCAATATCGGGAGAGAACAGTGTCAGCTTTGGCACCTTGCTGCCCAAGTGAGCTTACTCCAGAGGACAGCTTTATTTAGAAAATGCAGCTGCATGGCCTCTCAGCCTTACCAGGGTGGCTCCGCTGGGCAGCAGGAGCTGTAGTCTGAGCCCAATAAACAACATTTGTGAGTTGATAACTGTAGGAAGTGCACAAAAGCAGAGATATATATCTACAGCCACTTCGTTGCCCAATTTGTTTAGCTGGCTTGCTTCTAAGGTTCATACCCACCATCCATCATCACATAAGTCAAAGCAAGCATTAAAGTGTGCAGGACATTCTTCTGTGGGGAAGCCAAGTGCATCTGAGCTCACCAATGGCCTCTGCCCGTCAAACCAGCCACCTTGCTTCTCGTAAGGACTAGGAGCACATGCAGCACATCTGGCCAGGCATACAACCAGCAGCACAGCACCCTTCCCTTCCACACAGCCCTTGCCAGCCAGCTGGAGGTGGCAGGGAGGTAAGAATTGGCCCTTTGGAAGAGCTCAGTGTCCAAGTGACAGCACAACCCAAGCTCCACTTAAGGAAAAAAAACCACTTCTCATTGTGAAATGAACAGACAGTTCAGTGCAGAAAATGCATTCCAGTCCCCTGCACTATTGATTTTCCTGTGAAAGGAGACAAGCTAATCCTTTAACTTAGTTGCTTCAATCCATGGTCTTGCATTTGCTTCACTATTGTACCAAAGGCTCACTCTCCTAACCCACCCTAGCAGCAGGGAGGCTTGCCTTCTGGCTCATGATTCTTTTACTCAAAATGCAATCAGTTACAAGGAAAGCAAGAAAAATCACATACTGGAAGCTGTACTCCAGCTCTTAGGTCACCAGTACAACAAGTTTATATTCCACTTTCACAACACCACACTCCTCCTGCCTCTCCTCCTGCCAGGTCAGGGAAGACCTCTTATTCACAAGGCCAGTCATTATCTGAAGTTCCCTTTGCATTAGGAAACATGAGGGGTGTGGGAAACTCCAAAAGAACTAGTTTATCTGTCACAGGCATATGATGAGTGAGCAATCAAAAGAATTTATTGACAAGCCCACAGAAGAAGAATGGACCAGGATGAAGGAGGCAGGATTTATGCCATATTAACAGGGCTGTGCGCCAGTTTCAGCCTTATTAGTTTCACAACAAAAAAGCTGAGAATTGCCTTCCCATCCCACATCCAGACACCATTTATTATAAACGAACTTGGCTCCTGTCCTTCTTCAACTACTTCAGAGCAAAGCAGCAACTTAACTGACCTTACTTTTTGGAAGCTGACTACACGAGAGGCATGAGAAGGCTCCGATCAGCCCCTGAGACCGGGCTCTTAGCCAAGCAAAGCTGTATTTCAGAGGCACCTGTAACAAACAGTTAGGGCTATTGATATTTATGCTTAATGCAGTACTAATTCCTTCCCTGCAACAGCAATAGCTCAAAACTTGGATGTCTGTACATACAGAAATGGCATAATATTTTGGACCCTCGAGAGGCTTTTCTCTGTTTTGAAGGCTTTCAGAACTGGATCTCTGCACGGAAGTGGCAGCCGCCTTTTTGGAAATTTGTTTCTACTTCCCTATCAGTATCATAATAAAACGCATCAGAGCGTTTGTGGTAGGGAATATAATGCAATATTTTTGGCAAGAAGGTCTTACCATGAATAACTTCTTGTGGGATATGCAAGGTGACATGCTAATAGTGACCCAGTCCTGCTGCATCCTTACTGTAAGCCAGGGTAACCTGGAACATAGCAATGCTACAGTTTAAGCAGTTTATTTAAACAAGAGGATGGCTTCACACCAGCAGGGTAAACTTCCATCAGCTTTCCTTCCTTGCCCTGGGCTCACCCTGGGATCCTGGGGCAAGCACCCCAAACCTTTTTGATTGATGTGCTGTGCAATCAGCGCTCCCTGCTCCAGACACCTGCCACTGCAGCAGCTACCTTCCCCACCGCTGGCTCTCAAGGTCTCTAGACACCAAGACCTGTAAGAATAAATATCCAGGAGACAGCAGCTGTGACCCATTTATTACCGGATGCTGCTGCAGGGCACAGCTGAAGAAGGCAGGGCAGAGGAAAAGCACTTGCTGCAAAGGGAACAAGAGGAGCAAATGCAGGTGTCCTTGGAAGAAGCCCTCTGCTTGCAGCACTGTAACAGCTCTGTTTCTCCAGCTCCCAGTTGGCAAGAGACAGCTTAGATCAAGCATTGATGTTCAAGTACTGCCATGAGAGCTCCCCTCAGATCACTGCTGGGAGGTAAAAATAATAAAACAAAAAACCCACAGAGGAAGCCCACAGAGGCCAGAAGGCAACCCTGAGCTGGAGACACGGACAGAGAGGCCACAAGAGTCTCATGCACTAAACAAGCTGATAAAACCACCCTAGTGCAGGCAAATGTATCTGGAAAGATCCTTTTTGACAACAACAACAAAAAAAAAAAAATCACAGGTACCTTTACCCAGGAGCAGGGGGTGCACACACACATGCAGCAGAGTCAGGAGGGAGAAATGCCAAGGAGGGAAGCAGAGCACGTACACTAGCGGCACAAAGCACGGCACTCCAGCCTGTAGCCGAAGAGGGCCAGGAAGGCAGCACCACGCCGAGGCAGACGGGATCTACATCAACACTTATCAGTTCAGCCTTCGCATTTGCCGATTAAGTTCTGCTGGCACTGAGCGATTGTACATGTCCTCAGACTACCTCCTCACTACCCTGCACAGCTTCCCGCAGCTGCAGCCCGGCCCTGCTCTGGTCGCTGGGTACTCTGATCAGAGCGTCAGGCTGGGGTGACATTGTCCCCTCCTGAAGAGGGACAGTGAGCGCCTGCAAGCCCGCTCATTTTATTCACTGCACAAGCACGTTTCCAACTGGGATAATCTCCATTAAACCATCTGCGCTCCCATCTTCGCTCGGCCCGCACCCGCTGGGCTGCCTGCGATACTGCAGCATCTGTGAACTGGCAAAAGCGGATGCTGCGTCCCTTTCCCAATCAGCTAAAAACCCAACAGAGACTCAGACAGAACAGATGCACCTGGTAGCTTTGACACGCTATGGAGCCAGGCTACCAGGAGTACCTGTGCCAGTGCCTCTTCTGAAAGGCGTACAGCTCCCTTTGAGAATTTAAGCCATTTCCTTTCCATCATGGGAAGACACCATGCCCCAAATTGCCAGAAGAGGAAGGCTGAGAAGAGAGTAGAGGTTTTTAGCTACAACGGCTGCCCTGGTGCAGAAGACAAGCACCGTTTGCCAGGTCATGAATGCATTTTGGATCAGACACTCTGAATGGCTGCTGATCCCCAGGATTTAATCTCTTGTTTATCTCGGTATCTGCTTTCTAGAAACAGGGACTATCATGTCACATTCCTACATCACTGGAACAGAAAGACAAGAAAGTGTTGTGATGAGAGATCTGAAACTGAAACCCACTGCCCCTTCCCCGCAGCCTACACAGAACATGTCCAGCTGACCTTACAGAAAGCATGATAGAGCGACCGCATTGAAGCGTGAATTCAGCGCGGAGAGAACTTGACCCTGTCCTTAGCATTGCCATTGAGACAGCCAAGGGACTCAGGAGTCACTTCGGCTGTCGAGGACATGACAGCATGGTGATGGATCTGAAGCGAAGATAGAAAGCCATCGATCTGCTTTAACTGTAATCAGTGCTTGCCTTCAACAAGGTCACTGGGCCACACATGCCTTTCTTCCAGCCGATTTTCCCTGTGTGGTCTTACCCTCACAGGTGTGGAACAGCACGGCAAGGCTCACCTTTCAAATCTCCCTGGACTCCTATGATCCCAAAGTGGAGGCAAATATTAGCATCTAGTGATTGGACAGGAGCAAAAGTCTATTTCAGTATTTCCTGCACTTGCCTTCACTTATTTGTTTTGCAAGCCTTTATTTTCCAAGGCAATTCACAAACAAGAAGCAAGATAACCATTTGTTCAGACAGAGGTTAATAGGGGCCTAGAGGTCTCTGAAGACTCTGCAGTCCCACTTAGGTGTGAAATTTTGGAGGAGCAATAAAGATGCTGCACAGACAAGCAAGTCTCAAGAGAAGAATTTAATCTGTCTAAATATTCTCATTATGTACATAGCTTTCAGCTTCCATTCACAGTGATCAGAGCAGAGACAGCTTTCAGAGGCCTTTTTGGACAATAAACCATGAAATAGGATTTTTACATCACTCATTATTCCCCTCTCCACCCCCAGCTCAAAGAGTCAACGTTTGAAGTGTTTTTTGTTGAAAAGATGACATAGCGTTGGGAGAGAAAGAGTCGACAGGAGGAAGGCAGCACAGATCTTTGGCAGACTGGTGGTACTTGGCACAAGAGAGCTCCCATTGGCACCATTTTCCCAGAAAACCTCAAATAGATTATTTCTCCTGGTAGTCCAAAAAAAGCTTTCTGTAGGGTCACACACAGAGTAAGAAATATAACACTACATCCAGAGACCTGCTTCACTGGAATGGGCAAGAGGTTCCAGTTACAGCCACCCATCTTGCTCCTAAAAGTCACTTAAACCTAAATACAGTACTAAGACAAGGTGAAAAAACCTAGAGGCAAGCATCTAGGACAAAAGGGCTGATCCAAAAACTCAGCTGCTTTCTTTTGGGATTGCAGTGTCCATCTGTCCTCTTGCCTGCAAAAAGTGACCTTGTTTGTCCACTGAAACGCGGAACCTGAATTGTTCCAACAAGCAAGAACTCAAAAAAGAAAAACCTCAAGAAAACAGAGCAATTTCTCTATGGGTATGATCCCCTGGGACCAAGACAATAGCTATGCTCTTGATGCATCTCACCCCTCGTCACTTCCGTGTTGCCTTTTCCCCTTCAGAGAAGCACGTTTCAGCTTTTCTTCCATGTGCAAAACTCCGCTTCTACACACAAGAAGCTTGGACAAAATTTGTCGAGACAGTTACAGTGTTCTGCTATTAAATTTTTCACTTGAAGTCAAGTGACTTTCTACGCTTGTCCTCCCATCCCCAGGTTTCTCTCAAAGTTTAAGAGCTCTAACTACTGGTCACTAGTTATCCACATTGCAAACAGGACAGCGGGGAAAAAAATATTAACCAGTACAGTCACTTCAGAGACAGCCCAAACTTGAAGACAATGTCAGTACTGTGGTCTGAATGATGAATGACTTTATAAATGATGTATCTCTTCTCCTTCTCTAGGGAAGTTGTCATCATCTTTCTTTTCTAGAGAATAAAACCACACAGGTCAAGCAAGGAGTGGAGCCAGCAGCTGAAGGTAGAACAAGTCCCAGTTTACTCCCATACTCATCTAGTAAGAAGCGTTAGAGACCTTGACAGAGAACCACAACCTGGAGGTAATGCTGACACACCCAGCAGTCTCCTGAAAACTGGAGCTGCCCCCCTCCAGTAACCCACTACATACTCGTATGTTCTCCCACAAACAATCCCTCCTACTTCCAAGGGGGAGCAGAGAAGAGCACCGAAACCCTCATCTCAATTACCAAGCAGGGAAGGATTAACCAATACCAAAGACTTTGCAGATATTTATTCTCCAAATCCACAAGAGGAGACAAGCAGAGGAAAAAGCTCCTCTGAAGAGTTATGTACACAGATGGCAAGTCTAATGCTTAAACAGTCTTAATTTTTTTAATTTTTCAAGTCCTAACAACAATTATCTTCATGAATTATAGACATAATATCTGAGAGACGCAGGCAGTAATTAATGCACGTCTGCCTTTTCTGACTAGCTCCTTCTGCTGGGTCAGGGAGAGTTATTGAAATTCAGGAAGGAAGTCTTCAATCTTCTGGAAGTTTTAAAGAAACAGACCAAGACACAATTTAATAAAGCAATAATATTTCTCCTAAATAATTAACTAGGCTTTGACATTCACTAATATTTCTGAAGCTCAGCTCTTACTTTTGCAGTAACACTGGAGCAAGTGCACTCAGGGATGTGATCCACTGCATGTCCAAAATGTACAAACTGCAAAATTGCTTCAAATAGTCTTTACCCCTGGACTTCTCTGCACACACAGGGCCACCTTCACTCCTTTTTTCCTTAAAATTCTCACTGAGACCCTTAACAGAAGCCACACTATGCAGCACTTGCATACCTCCCTCTTCTCATTTTGCCCGGCTGACATCCGTCTCCAGGTACAAGCGCTCAACTCTCCCCAAGCTCAAGAGAAGCAGCATTATCATCCTTTGGGAAAAACTTCTGTTTCACAGCAGAACCACAGCACAGTAATAGATGCCATAGACAATCCTAAACTAGACAGAAAGCTATTACTAAAGCAGCATATAGCACTGGATGTTGTTTAAACGGGCTGTTTCCATCATCTCTCAAAAAACAGATTCTTCTGCAGCATAAACAACTTTATTCACATAAAGAATGCACTCAAGAGAGCTTAATATACTCCAGTATATTGACAACAATTACCTCAAAGCAACAATTCTTAGCCAGCCACTGAAAAAAACCCACCCTTTGTTTGGCATGGGCATATCACCTGCTTAAGCAATACAAAACTTCACAACAACAAGGACAGAACTCTACTTAAAATCATAAGGATAGTTCTGATGGCTACCAAATTAAAACACAGCCAAGTCACCAAGAATAAAAGAGGGGTTATTTGGCCAAAAAGGTCAGACTGAACCGAAAGCTTCACACCTCTGTTGTTCATTTGAACCACATTACCTCTACAGGAAAAAAAATCCCTACCCATTAGAAGCAAAGTTCAAATGGAAATAATGGTCATCCCTGTTTCAGAAACTCACCAGATACAGTCTGTAAGCATCAATCCGTCGAATTGGCCCCCAGCACTTGTCTGTATCGTTGTACTTTGTGCCATCTCCAACACTGCAAGAATGGTTGCCAGTGGCACTGCTGGGAAAGGAGGGAGAAACAAAAGACAGTAATTAACTCCTAGCAGATGTCTTCCCCTCTCCTGCATTCAAAAAAGAAGAATGATCAGAGACCTGAAGTGTCCATTCCTCCTCTCCCTTCCTGAACACCCTCCCTCCTTATATTTTTCTGGGCAGTGTAACAAAGCAAGTCACTGAGTGCCATGCATTTAAAGGCAAATTCCTGAATTGCCTGCAGTTATTTACAAGTTTGGTCATTTGGTCATCAGGCTAGCAAGTTTAGGTCACGTACAGATCACTGAGGTTTTCCATTTCCAAGTCGTGAGTCCAAATGCAGCCCAGCCCAGCTTTGATCAAACCAATCTCTCATTATCTGTTTCTTTGATAAAGGAACTAGCCTCAGTCCAGAGCCAAGTCCATGTAATGCCACCATTCGCTGATCACAGGCTTGGTAAGCATCACACCTCTCAGCTCTTACCCAGAGAGACAGAGAAGCTAAAATATTGCACAGGGTATCGCAATCAAACTGTTGAGCAACAAGTCCCACATCTGCAAGTACTTAACGCCCCAGGACTCATCTGAAAGCAGGTCAGCTACTTTTCAGGCAGGCAGCAGGCACTTGGGTGGGGAATATAAAACACTTCACCTTCCCACCCGCAAGTGATGAGCTGTCCTTGAGTCATTTCTCCACTCCGTTCTTCAGAAAGTAGAGCTGATCCCAGTCAGACTTATCACCCCATCAAATCCAAAAGCCTGCTCTCTTCTCTGTTGGCACACAACCCTACAGCGGTAAGCACACTTACCAGGTCACTTGCATGAGAGAGACAGGTACAGCTGCTGCATAGATTGCCAGGTCTCCGTAGAGGTAGATAATTATGCAGAAATAGAAGAGGTTGACACCCACTGCAGGAAAAGGAAATATTGTACAGAGACAGCAGAGTACACAGGGACTCTCTAAAGTCTGCACTTCAAATACACAAAACTTTTTCAAGGTCTTAAAAATAAACCACCATTTGCCTCCATAGTTTACTTCTTTCTGCAGCAAACTCCAGGCAAGGGTCACAGCAGCAGCTTAAGGAACTTAGCCACAGCACAGGAACTGACTGGACACGAGGTGCCTCAGAGCTCAACTCTGCCTCCTTCAATACCTGGCCCTGACACTAGGCCTTCTAGTTCAAGCCCATCCTCCAGTCGCTGGTCAAGACCAACAGGTCTCACATAAGTCATCTACCAGATGAAGCTGTCAACTTGGAACAGCCACAGGCAAACATTCAGCTGATGCTCAGGGTTGGTGTGAGTGTAGCTTCACAAACAGTGAAATGAAGAGAGAAGCCACTTCTAGTCTCTGCCAGCTCCATACCCTCTGTTTGCAAACCTGTAGGACCTTCACATTAGGGATTTGGCCCTGCAGAACTCAGGTCCCACAGGGTTGAAACAGAGCTGCTTTGGGAGATTCGTTACCATCAGTAACTTGAGCCAAGGTTCAAACCTGCAAAGCTTTAAAATTCTCTTTCTGCAGCACTCTTACCCTACTGCCAAGTGTGTGCTATTTCTGCCCCAAGCTGTTTTCTTGGGTGATTGTTTTTGCTGGGTTTTGTTTTTTGGTTGGTTGGAATTTGTTAAAGCTTTCCCTGCCTTCACCTATGAAATTAAAAAAGTCTTACGCAAGTTAATCGGATGCATAGAACAGCCTTACTGGGGCACAAGACGACACTGCTGTGGAGGGCTAAAATCTGCAGGGATAAAGAAATGCTTCATGAGACCCCAGGATTCTTTTCTTCCAAGAAAAGTCAGTATAAATCTCACCAAGGAAAAACAAACTGGAACATATTTTAGTTCAGGGAGAGAAGAGCTACAAAAAAAGCCTCAGATTTGTTTCATTTAGGAAGTTGACATTGAAGGAAAACAGCTCGAAGAACCTGCACATACTTTCAAGTTGCAATGCCACCTGATGCTTAATCCTAATGCAGCTTGAGCAATTCAATTCACCTCTCCAAGCCTTGCACGTGACAACTATCAAACAAGGACAGCGTTACTGCAGGAACGCAGACTAATATTTCTACAGTGCTTGGATGCTCTAAAGTTTTACCATCACACTGCCCCTGGATCTCTGGATGTTAGGAAACATTAATAGGCATTCTCCTTTGTTTAATGAAATTATTCAATGTGCTGAGCCTACTTAGCATACAACATTCTTTAAAAGAAGGGCTGTATTGGGAAAGCAGCAAGAAAACGTCCCTGTTTCTGTAAAGCAGCACGCTAAGCCAGTACTCTAGAGTTATTCCTGGTTTGTCTGAACAGACAACCAGAGATCTTACAGAAATTGTCAAATCTTTTCATACAGTTCCCCCTTTGCTTTCTTTTTCTGTGAAAGATTTAAGATGGCTTCACAGTTAAGGAGTCTCTGCATTGATCTGAAGATGGCAACAAACTACCTACCAGCTTTCTCCAGTTTCCCATTCAAAAGGGTTGAATGTTATAACAAATATCTGACATAGGACAGAAGCTGCAAGACACATTAAGCATAGGACTGCACAGACTCAGATATAGATTCTGGTTTGGGATCTGCTACTGATCTCAGGCCTCAGCTGCCCCCCCAAATAAGGCTAACACCACCAGCTAAGCCACAGCAGCACCACCAGGTACCCACCAGCATAATCTATATCCCTGTTACAGCGCCAACTTCTCTGTCTGTGGGAAGTCCAGGTGACACTCCTCTCCCAAACTCATCCTTCTCCAAGGCAGGAAGACTTTAGCATCAGTTCTTTTATAAACTGCTGCTGACCCTCCCTGATCAATACTTTCATTACTGGACACAAAACGAGGAAAAAAAAAATCAATTACTTCCTGTGAGGAAATAGCATGATAGATGTGCCTAGAATCCATTATTGCAATAAATGACTGCTCAGTCCCAGAAGAAAGTACCCAACACTGCAAATTAAAAAAAAAAAAAAAAAAATTAAAAAAAGTGCAGTTCTTCAGAGCCAGCTCTTTTGGAAGAGTGCACAGGCCCTTCACAGCCTAAACCTAAGTCAGCTCCCTTTAAGAAAGCAGACAGTCTGAAGTTGAGATTTATCCCCAGCTTACCTCCCAGGACTGCAGATTCAACTCCTGTCAGGTTGTTGAAAATAAAAATCAGTCAACAGAAAGGAGCAGAGAACTCGCTAGAAATCAGAGGCTTTGATGTCTACTGCAAAGCTTTCACCAGCCTTCCCTCTGAAGGGTGTAAAGCCCTCAGACACCTTGGGTCTGGATCCATGCTTTGTATATTGTGAGCTAAAAAACACCCAGACATTTGCCAGCTGTGAAACCGCAGAGGTTGGTGCTTGGAGCCAGGAATTTCCAAACATGGCTCACTTTCTCATCACTAGGCAGTAGCAACTGGTCACTGAGCAACTGCCCTTATTGAAGGCAATCGTCAGAAGGAAGCACCTCAGCAAGGATCTGCAGAGGGAGATACTTAACTTGCTTCCTCTCTGCAACTGCTCAGCAGACCAGAGGCTATCTCTTAAGTAGGACTCAGCAACAGAATAGGGATGGAGCCTTATTGCTGATCACAGAGGAAGCGAAAGCAGCAAATGAATTATGGCTGCCCCAGACCCTTTGCTGTGTGTACCTCATCCCCTCTGGAAGTCACAAGGTGTTTCAAGCCATGGACTGCAGCTGCTCCAGCTGCCCTCCTGCAGAGGGATTCATCCCTTTGCAAGGGGCTGAGTAGGTCCTGGGGAGGATCCCTAACAGAGAAATCAGATAACTCTGGCTAAAGAAACATTAAGAGGAGGGATTAAGATTTAGGAGTACTAAGCAGTTTGCTAGGAAGCGTCCATCAGTGCCTGGTGGGAAAGAGGACGTGTATTCCCAGCACCCTCTACTGGCTGAGCAGCAGGCCAGCATCAAGGCAGAGAGGTCTAGAAGGCAACTGCCCAACGGGGATGGGTTGTTACCTGGCTGTTACCACCTCCCCCTGTGAAGCACATGCAAAGCAGGGACCTTCTGGAACTCGTTTATGGGAGCACTCCTCCATCTGTGCTCCCCCAGCCCTCCTGCAGCTGAACAGGCCTCTACAGCTGAATCCTCAGCAATACTGCTAAGCCCTGTTACATGGTGCTTGCTTTCAAAGCACTTCCCAAATATTACTCCCCAGAGGGTGACAGAGAGACAGGGAAGCGTCCACAGAGTTTCTTTACAAGCAAGAAAACTTGACTAAAGTCAGAGCAACCCAGTGCTACAGGCAAGGCTATGAACAAGATGTTTACAGGTCTCCAATGCACACTCCAGTCACCTCTCCTCTTCTCTGACTAGAAAAGTGGCAGCCTGACCCGAGGTGGATTACTTTGGGAGCCCTAAGTGATTTAAATCTACAAAGGCACAGAAGAGGCATGCAGAGAAATTAGAAAGCTTTTTTGAATTGGACTTTAAAATCAGCAATAATATCGGTCAAAGAATCTTCACTCCTTAAGCCCAGCTGTCCTTCAGAGCCAACAGTCTTACATTGGCATAAAGCTGATGTAATGTAGTGGAAAAAACCAGCCCATTGCATCTTTGCAAGATGGCCAGTGAACAAGAGAAAAATGTCACTTTCCACAAGAAATGGGGCCTGACAGGCTCAGAACTGCACAGCCATGGTGTCTGACGATTTTCTGGCTCTGCACAGCATTTCAAATGTACTCTTTTACAAGTTTCAGAACACCTAACATCATAGTCTGGATTTGTAGCACATGCAGCAATGGATACGGCTTTATTGCAGTATGGTTACAAATTTGTTCCCTGGCACACAAGAGACATTTAAAAGCAAACAGACAAGACATCTGCCTATCATATGCACACCAGGGACCCTTTCAGCAGTTCACATCCCAGCAGATCTCTTGGTGACCCCCCAGACACATGCACTTCTCAGAAGCTGTCCCCAGAAGTCTCTCTCCTTCAGACTGATACTTATGGGGTTCAGGGAAGCCCAAACATCTTATTCTCAAATGCTACAACCAAGATGGAACTAGCAAACACCACAGCTGGGCTCTACTGCTTTAGACAGTGGAAATCACAGAGGACAGATGCAGTTTGTTCAGCGTTATGTTCAAGACAGTCAGAAAAGGCACCATCTTACACTTACCTGTCTCAAGAAACCGGGGCCATAACCTACAACATTTTGGCTAGTTCTGCTACTACCACAGTGTCCTCCCCTTCACGCAGAGTCTGGCCCACCTGGCCAATAAATACTCTTTGTAGAAACACCATGCAGGGGGACGAATACAGTCCACAGACAGAAGGAATGACACTTTTGGGTGGAATCATCACAAATTCAGGATGCAAACCCACTCTGAGCAGCACACAGACTTAAGGAAAAGCCACACACACAACGTGCAGCAGGTCCTGAAGGGACTTGTGAAAACATGAATCACTTACCTTTATTGAAGAACATGGAAGCCATCTGGCCCATTTCCACCCTCTCGGTGATTTCAAAGATATTGGGTGAACCACGTCTCTCTGCAAATTGAAAACAAGAAGTGTTTCAACCAGTCCCTCCAATAAACCCAAAGGCCAGGCTATCTGAAGATATTCAAGAAGCTCCAGCAACAGCTTGAAGGACAGTTTGTCCGACTCCATAGCTACAGAGTCACTGGTCCAATTACTCTACTGAAGTTAGTTTAAAGTGTTTTTTCAAAGTAAGATATTCTCATCATAGCAACCTAGAAGGAAAAGATCTTTATCAGAGCACAGAAGGTGAACTGAATTCTCAATGAGTCTTATCTTGCAAGTGCTAAGGACTTTGAGATGCAAACACCTGGAATTAAGGGTGAAATGGACAGAAGAGTCCTGCTCTGCTTGCTGGAGCCCACTGGGACACTGTCTGCAGAGAAGAGGTCTCGGATCCAGTGAAGGCATGAACTAGGTACTTACGAACTGACAGGATGGGTCGTGTCTCTGCTCGCTCATAGCCATCATGGAGAAGAACATCGCTGTCAGATACTCCAGAGGAAGAATCCTCATCCTCATCATCCTCCTGGGAGAAAAGACCAGGCCACTGCTGACATGTCTGCTACCCACAGTACAGGCTGTGGCACCACAAATGTTACGGTCTCACTTCCAGAAACTCAAAAGAAGGTCCCAAACAGGGATGGGCAGGACATACAAGCAAAGGCAATACCAGGGAGCCCTTGGCCCAGGCTTGTGATGCTGTGGAGAGCAGAAGAGGGCACTAGCAGAGCAGGCTGAAGTGAGAGACACGCTCTGCTGTCCTAGCCTAGGTCACATACACAGTTAACAGTGTCCAGTTCACGGAGTGATAGGCAGCACAAGGAAGTTAGAAACTTCCGGCAGATCTGCAGGGTTGCAGCATTGGTATGAAAAAAAAATCCAAACATATGTAGTCTTAGCTTAGTCAGAGCAGACAGGTCTAGCTCCTAACTCCAACCCACTAACATACAGGCAGGGATCTAAATCAGTGCAAACAATTAAGCCCTGCATTGATCCAGAACAGCCACTAAAGCCAGGATCCAAAAAGCCACAGGGAAGTTTTTCAGCAAGGACATACTTCAGGACTGTCCACTCCCTGCGATATAGCCCAAGTGGCAGGAAGAACATTCCAGCCTGTCCCAGTTAAATGACCTGAGATCAGCAAGGATTTATAGACCAAAGCACAATCCAAATGGCACCAATATATTGGCTGCCACCTCTCCACACTCACTGAGCAGTGCTTCTGGGCAAGGAGAGCACAATCAGTAAGAAATGTGAACAGCACAACAGATTTTTCAAAGCAGGAGCAGAAAATCCTGTCTTTAATGAGCAACCCCACAGGGAACGAACAGCCATATTTTATATGGCAAAGTTAAGTACAGTAGAAACTTATTCCTTTAGAGTTACTAATGAGGCAAGGCAAAGATGCAGAGGAATTTCAGGCAAGTCCTACAGGGTAAAAGAACAAGAGATAAATGGAAGATTAAACCCCACACGAACCTTGCGTTTTTCCATTCTCTTCCATCGCAGCTGGGCATTTGCAGCAGCCATGGCTTCCACCACAAAGGTCGTAGTCATATAGCTAGAGAGAGGAATTCAACTGATATCAATAGCAGTCAAGCACTGTCACTGAAGGGAGATGGAGAATTATTCCCATCTGTTTGTAGCAGCAAACAAACCAACCAAAACAGCCCTTTCACCAGGTCCCCCCACACTGAGGGTTTTAGTACAGTGTTTCATCTCAGTTTGCTGCTCCCTTCTGTCCTTGAGATTAAGGTGTTCAAGCAGACCACAAAATGCAGTAAAATATAACATGCCTTCAGATATAAGATGACACTTAAGATACCCGGAAGGCACCTTCCTAGTGTTTTCTGTGGGTTGAAGAAGGCAAGAGGAATACCCCCTTTGTTAGAAAGCAAGCTTCCTTCCTCTTTTTAGGGCCTAGGACAAACACAGTACTAGTCTGAAGCTTTCAATTAGGGCCTGTGGCAAAGGTACTACGGTCCCATAAAGGTTCTTACAAATGGCATCAGAAGCAGAGCAGAAATACAAGATCAAGGAGCAGATCACACGTGAATGCAGATACACTTTGCTGGAGGCCAGGGAAAAACTGTCCACGCAGACAGTGAGAGCCACTGATGGAACGAATATCATTATCTCAGCTAAAACTGGTCCTATAAATAATAAAAAAAAAAAATACCAACCAAACTTCAAATCAATCTTATTTAAGGCTTTAAAGCGGTTTCTCACTGCTTCAGGAACCAGACTCTTACCAAGCTCAAACAAGAGATTAGTTTTGCAAGAGTAAACACAAGCAGCCCCGTCCCGAGACCCATGTAGCAATTTCCGCCCAGCCTCCTCTCGCACTGAAGGGTCCCCAGCAGGCACAAGGAAGTCACAAGCACCAGAACAAAAGCAACAGGGCAATGCAGCTCCCAAGGCATGTAGTACTTTGAGCTGCATCTTCTCAGTTTAATCCAGTGCAGTTTTGGTACATAGGTTTGGAGGTTTGTGCTCTTCTGCTGACCTTGAAGGATTGCCTGCTGGTGCCGAATTTCATACACTGAATTTATACTTTTAACCTAATGTATCTAAAAGGAACTGCTTCCAAAGCTCCCAGTTACTGGTACTCAGAGAGTTTACATTTTATCAAGCCTTTGCAGTATACAGCTTTGAAGTAGGGAACATAGAAGCATTACTGCAGTCAGTACTGACCATACAGTGCCTCTATATTGCAGCACCTAACAGATCCAAGAAGCACTGCCTCCACATCAAAGGCACATTCAGGCTGACAGAGCTGGTTACTGACAGGAAAAGAACTTCTAAATTCTATTCTTACAAACAGCAGGAGGGGATTTTGTTTTCTTTTATTTTAGAACCAAGCAAGAAGCAAGCAGGGGTTCATAGCCTGTCAGAAGATGGCAATTCTATTAATAACTGCTCAGACATCAGTGCTGTATCAACAGCCTTCAGCTCCACCTGCTGCTCCAGCAGGAGACATCTGGGCAGAAACTCATGGCGAGGCAGTGTGAAAATCATGAGACCAGTTCCAAGGTCTTGAGCAGCAAAGGTGCAGAGGGAGAGTAAGATGGGGCCAGCTATACAGTAATTTGTTTTCCTGACACTCTTGCAGCTGCCCGGAGCACTGCCAGGAGAAAGCTAACGCAACAGGTCTGCATCAATCTGCAAGTCACAAAGCAGAGAAATGAACCTGAGTCACTTGTGACCTGGTTAGTGTTTAGGGAACTGATCCCTGACAGAGGCAAGTGTGGGATGCATTGACAGCAACGACAGCGTCAAAAAAGGAAGCTGGGAGAAAGGTCCCAGAAGACTCTGGATTGGAGAAAAAAAAAGTCTTTTCCATCAGTCAGGAAATGGGATGTAGCACCATATTGCAGGCAGTCAGAAAATGCATCCCTCCAAATAAGGTCCATGGGCAGCACAACTGCAGAGACCAGTGCTCAAGCAGCAGAGGGACAGGGTCACTTAGAAGAACAGAAAAAGTCTTAACACTGTCCTTACAGCCCCACCCAACTGAACCCCCCCAATCCCCTAAAGACACGCACTCAGGTCCTACCTCATAAATCCCAGGAACATTAGGAGAACGAGGCTGACGAGCCACCCTGCTGTCGCGAAGGCCTTCGGCATGGTTAGGGCTCCCGTTCCAACAATGAGGTTGAACATGTAAACCAGACCAACCTGCAATCATCCACATAATCCAACATGAGAGTTTGCAGCTGTGCCAGAAATCATCCAAGACACCTCACATATGTACTGATTTAAATGGAGAGAGCAATCTTTGAGCAAGCAGGGTGGGAACAAGCCCATGCTAGAAATAAATATAGAAGGGGACTGATCACCAAGGAGAACAAAGCGAGTGTCATCACATTTCTGGAGAAACTACTATTCCCCTCCATTTTTCTAATTACTTTTAAACATTTTTTTTTCCTTCTAACTTTCCAAGTTAGAAAGCATGTGAGCTTTATTTGTTTGTTTTCAAATCCACTGCCATCTACACTGTGGATCTCTCTTGTTTTCTGACCTGAACCTAAGTAATTATGACTACATACATAAGTTACCTTTTAGAATCTCGTCTTCTTTATTCTTAGTCAAGCAGGAAATCACAACCAAACAGAATTCTAATTCAAAGCCTGCTTGCCGTTTTACCAGTAAGCAGCTGAGCACATTCTGAATAAAGGATTTTACTTCTGGAAGGGAAAGGATTTTATCCTCCCCGGCAGTGAGCTTTTTTCTGCCCAGGGGCAAAAGATAACTGCACATCTGGACAAGACACACACCCCCCCAACTATAAATTCAGCTGAACTCAAGATCAAAAATTGCCCCAAAGTTTTTGGTCTTTTTTTTTTTTTTTTAATATAGGTCAGAGGCTCTCCAGAGGAAAGCCAGTGAAGAACTGTGTCTGAGTACACTGTACACTTTTCTGGGTGTGGAGCAATTAATACCAGGAGAACGATTCCCCAGAGACCCTGCGAGCACTCCTGTCCTTCATTCACTGACATAAGCACAGCAAATTCATCTTTTGATGAGTATTTCAGAACAATGAAAAAAAAATCAGCCATTGCAGCTTGCAGAAAAGTTCTTTCCATTCAGCTGGCAGAGCTGTCATTCCCCAAGCGCAACTGAAGTGCCTGGGGCCATGACTTATTCTTCAGTGAAGGACTCCTGAAAAAAAACCTCAGGTGATTCTCCTTGACTTTGGTCAAGCAGATCGAGATGAGAATGGCGCCCGTGTGTCTCG